GAGGATTAGTAAAAGGTCGTCAACATATTTTTTAATGAAAAAAATATCATTGGGAAATTTGGGTAGTATCGAATCAATAAGGTTGTTGAGGACAATACTGGAGAGCTCTGGTGCAAGGCAATTAGCCATCGCCAAGCCGCAAGTTTGATGAAAAAAATTGTTTTGAACACATAGATAGCCGGAGTTACAATATAGAGAGAGGGACTGAAGGAATGAGTATTGATTGATGGAGGTGTGTGGTTCTATGGTAATTTTCTTCAATTATTTGGAGAGCACGGTCTGTGGGGATATTGGTGAAGAGACTTTCTTCATCAAGGGACACTAAAATGAAATGTGGTGCTATGTTCAGGGATTTTAGTTGATCTAATAGGTGGAAGGAATTTTTAATGTCATATGGATTTTTTTGACTGAGAGACTGGATAGTAGAGAGAAGAAATTTACTGAGTTTAGAAGATGGAGACTTAATGTTGGAAATAATAAGTCAGAGAGGATTGCCTAGTTTATGGATTTTCGGTAAGCCGTAGCACCGGGGAGCAGTGAGATTTCTACAGGTAGCGATTTTAATCTGTTTAGTATCGAGAAGGTGTTTTAGGTGTTGGTTGAATTTGGTTGTGAGGGACGGTGTGGGGTCACGTTCAGTGGGAAGATAGGTGGTATGGTCGGAAAAAAGTGCAAATAATTTTTCATTGTACTCGGCGCGGTCCATAAATACAGTTTTGTTACCTTTGTCTGCAAGACTGACAATGTTTTCATTGCGGGAGTTTACAAAGGAGCTAGTAGAGGAGAGATCTATTTGAAATTCTGATGAAAAGGAGAAGATGGGTGCTGGAGATGGTTGGTGATAATATTGCATGTTTGGGTTCGGGAAATAGTTCGCTCATCATCGGTTGAAACTTTGGTAAAAAAAAAAAATGTTTATGATGACTGCTTCTTGAATATTTATCACCCATGATATGTAGAACAGTGGACTATCTTCTTCAAAAAAATAAATTCATTTGAAAAAGACTTATTTTTCTAATATTTTCCGGATAAATTGGTTATAAGCTGTGTTCACCCAGATCTCTATTGCAGGAATTCATTTGTATTTATAAGTGACAAACTAAAAGTTTTTTGTTCTAAAATAAAAAAATCCTACTGATTGAAAAGTTCTGCGATCTGGTCGAATTTCCGATATGCGGTTTTCGAAGGATCTATTCGTTTCAGAGCCTGAGTCCGAAAAACATTGGAAAAAAACCGAATTTTCAGCTATGGTCTGTCTATGCCAAGATTATCAAGGAAACTAGTGGACCTATTTTATTGCTTATTTATTATTTTTTTTCTAGGGTTTTGACTGCTGATATATGTGATACAAATTGGATTTTTTGGAGACTAACTCGCTAAGTATGTATTATATGGTAAAATGTATATCAATAACGTTATAAAGATAATTACTTACACAAAAAAAAAAAAAGAGAATCATCGGAACGGAAGCAGTATCATCAATGATACAGCGTAGTCTATTTTCTACCCATGCTTTGATTTATTACTTTCCTACCTATACCAAGTAAGGGAAGCGACGGATCTATACATTTCAGAGCTCTCCACAAAAATAAAATTCTACTTTGAACAGAAATTATAGTCTGACGAAATTGGAACATGGCAAAAAGTTTTTGATAAGCAATATAAGAGTGTGTTGAATTTTTTTACGCTGATCTTGTTATTATTACATAACTGAAAGTTTGTTTCATTATTACTTTATTTTATCTTATTATTTAATGTCATTAATATTTTTGTTGTTTATATACAATTGTCTACACCAATAACAGGATCTGCGTCGAAAGAAAATCATTCCCGAGAGTAGAAAAATTCAAATACCTCGGCTCCACAGTAACCTCAATGACCAACGGGCAGAAATAGAACACAGTATAACTAGCGCAAACAGGACCGAAAAATCTCAAACTAAAGGTGTACAATGCAATGATAAAACCAGTTCTAATATATGGCTCAGAGACTTGGACACTAACCAGCAAATGTGTTGAAATATTTGAAAGGAAAATCCTCCGCACGAAAACCGGAGCGATCTGGGATCAGAGTACTAACAAATGGAGAAGAAAGACCAATAAAGAATAGCTTACAGAAGCTGGTCAATCAATATCCCATGATATGAAGTCACGGAGGTTAACACGGGCGGGGCATGTAGGTCGTAGCAATCCATTTGGAAGCCTCTACGTAACAATGAATGCCTCAATACAATAGAAGGCAACAGACCAGGTGGAAGGCCAAAACGCAGATGGATAGATAGAATCAACAAAGATGCAATAAAGCTGCGTGCAGATAAACGGAAAGAAATAGCCCAAGGCAGGCAGCGATGGAGCAGGCTTGTTAAGGCGGCAAAAGATCTACATTATCTGTAATGACAACAGGAAAAAAAACAAAAAAAAAAAAACAATTGTACGCTTACTGTAAGGTACCGTTTCTTTGATGTCGTAAGCAAAAACTGAAATAGACTGAGTTTAGAATGCCCTCTTTATAAAATTTGAAATCTATTTGGTATCCATGAAAAAAAAATTCTGAATCTTGGAAAAAACAACTGATTATAATTTTGGAATAATGTCACCTACCATGCAAAGTATAAAGTTCCGCTGAAGAATATTAAACACATGTAAAGTACCACATGAAGGTTGCTAAACAACATTTAATAATGTTCGCAAGGTAAAAAACCTCGCAGAATTATTATTTATCAGAAATAACTAATAAATATTTCTTTTTTTTTATTATTAAATTGTTTATTGAGAAATATTATAATCTGACTCAATTAAGGAAACTTATAATAGAGTTCAGAGAGTACATTCTCTCCATAATCGATTAAATATTTTTATTTTTTATTTACATTTGGAGTATTCCAGTTCTATTTTAACAGGATACGCAATGTTTATAATAAAAAAAAATTGATAAAACAAATAATAAAATAATATTGTTTTTTTAAACAAAGTATAAAAAAGTTTATACGATTTCCTTATTTAAAGAAAAAACTTATGTGTGGGTACGCGAGCGGGTGTGTGTGTAATCAAGTTAGTTGATTAGGGCTGTTAGTGAGGGTTTCATCCCTTATCAGATCTCATTGTCTCCTCTTGAGATAATTCACTTCTTTTTTGATAAGACTCCACAGCTGTCCCCTCGCCGATAAGATAGTAGAACCCTTGTTGGGCCTGTCACAAAGTAATCTTTAGGGCCACGAGTTTAGTCGCCCAACAGATACATTATAATAATTAACTAAAATTAATAAATTTCATCACTTGTTGCTTTAAAAAAAATGAAGAAGGGTAAGAAGAGCACTTATATTAGGTTATATTAAACTTTTATAGTTTTTGAATATCAGGTTCTTTACCGATGACAGTATCTGTATAAATTATTTTATTTTACACCTTAATATCACAGAAACTTTTGTTACCCTTCTTCGTAAGGAATCAAGGTCATTGACCGGGCTTGCTCAATGGTATCCCATATCCCAATCAATGGATTGGCCGTGCAGAACCAGTGGCTTGGCCTGCACGTTCTCCAGGCCTGCACGCTCTCCAGACCTGACAACACTGGATTTTTTTATCCGAGGGAAAATTAAACAAAAAGTCTATGCAAGTCCGGCCAATGACCTCAATTCTTTACGACGAAGAATAATTGAATCTTGTGAAACAATCACACATATCCAGTGCCGATCTGCCACTGCTCCTGTTGAAGAAAGATGCCGAGCCTGTCTTAATGCTCTAGGAAATCAGTTTGAACAACATTTAATATGAATGTTAACGTTTACATTTAATTAATATAGTAGTTGGAACAAATAAATAGGTTTTATTTTTTTCATATAACGTAAATAATTCATAGTAACGAAAATATTTAGGTGTGGATATTTCCTAAACAAAGCGTTTTCGGACATACCTTTAAAGGAAATGTTTTTTTGTTTTGAGGTCATATAGACAAATGGAGACAAAAAAAAAAAAAATAAAAACCTATAGGGAGTTTTTGTTTATTTATTCCTCATTTAGGCATTAAATCAAAAAAATATTCATCCGACTTTCATCAAAGAGCAATAATTCAGCATCCCAACGGATATAGTTACATCGAGTTTGTAGAACATCCTGACGAGTTATGAATGATCGGAAGGGTGCTGTGTTCCACCACACCAAGAACACAGCCCCATACCTCATTGGTCACTCGCAATAAATTATTAAGCTTTGGATGGAACCTTTTGCCACACCCTCACCAGACCTAGCTCCAATTGACTACCACTTATTCAGGTATCAGCAGAAATCCATGAATGGAAAGAAATTAAAAAGGAAGAGGACATAAAAAACCACTTGGATCAGTTTTTTAATGACATTATGCAGTTAGTGGAAAGATGGGAAAAAAGTCATATTAAATAATGGTGAATATATTGTGGGTTAAAATAAATTTTGTGTCCACAGTACATTGAGTTTTATTTTACCCTGAAAAACCTAAAGAACTTATTTGCCAACCCAATATTTGATTAAAGTTGTATATAATAATTGCATTCGAAATAAGTTTTTTTAGTCCCTGAAAATGCTATAATAACTTTACAGAAATAAAATTCCGAAATTGGTTTTTATTTTATAAATTTTGCTGTCATGATGCTGCACTGCCCTTTTTTAATAGGATCTAACTTTGGATGTTTCAAGTTGTTAATATTTGCTTACAAATATTTTTAATGCACACGAATGTATAGGGTTTGCGCATAACATAGGTTGTAGGTTGGCCTTGCAATGTGAGGAGTATGAAGGTTAAACAAATAAATTAATTAAATACAAAATAATTATGAAATATTATGTAACATGTGAATGAAAATAAGAAATGAGTTGAATCATGGATTTGTCTGATCCTAATGAATATTAAGGTTGGATTTACAACTAACTGATAATTATTTTGTTTACAATAACAAATAACAACTGCTTAGAGCTAATAAGTGGGGGGGGGGGAGGGGGTGCGAAGAGCATAGAATAAAAGTTACTCGGTTACGTAAGAGGTGATGTTATATAACGTTTGGGGTTCAGTCGGTAGTGCCATGTCCGTGAGGAGACCAGTACGTTCGCCCTTGCCAGACGACGAAAGGGAGAATTCAGATCCTGAGAGTGATGCCCACCACTATTATATCCCTACCAAATGTGAGTTATTACAACCATACATATCCATAAATCGTAAATTAAAAAAAAAAATGTATGGTACTGTATCATTTAAATATGTATGATGAACTGTTCTAATTAAACAATTGAAAAACTTAGGACGACAACTGATTTCTTTAGTGTATAACAGTTTATTTCAAACTATTAGGAATAAATTGTGATATGTACAAAATTACATCTCAGCATATATTATTGAAATAAAATAAACAATAGTCCTATATCCTACCGGACCGTTTACCTTGTTTTATTATATATATATATATATATATATATATATATATATATATATATATAAGATAAGATAAAAATAGATAAGATATGTAATATTACTACTTATGTAATTCTTTTTTTAATTATAGTCTTTAAAATATTGTAACAGCACTACATATATTTACAGACAGCATAACGAAATTTAATTAAATTTATTTTTACTTCACAAATAATTAGAGAGAAAAATAAATTAAAATTCAAGATATATTACATGAACGACGTATTATACAAGGTGTCCCATAAATAGAGGGGAATATTTAAAAAAGTGATGGTAGGCATCAAGATCTACAAAATAGTTTATAGAAATAATTGCCAAATATCTAGCAAAAAAAAAAAGGTAATTGTAGTAATTTTTGCTGAAAACACTGGTACTTTAAGGTGACTTGATAGGAAATCACATAATTTCTTTACGCAACGTGTGGTGAATTTCAAATTTTTTCTAATAAACCTCAACTTAATTAATTTGGACTGAAAGCTTATTAAACGGGAAGTTTTTATGAAAGTGGGGTAAATCTAGTACAGTTGAAAGATAAAAAAAAATCACAAATAATTTATGATTTTTTTTTTAAAATGGAACTTAGCTGTGTCTGTCCGCCAAATAGTCCTCTTTAAATAGCTTTATCAATGGCAACCTCTACTTTTGTTTAAAGTAAATTTTATCTGCTTTACTATGGATCAAGGTTCAGTTACGTTATTCAAATATTTTTTATGTTATCGCTCCCTGTTCATCAAAAAACGTAACTTAAAAAACACAAATTTTTAATTTTCTGCTGGAAATAGTACGCTTGTTTAGATCTTTTTTTTTTTAGATGACACTCTGTACATGGACTACTTAATCATAGTTTTCCATATACGATTCTTAGAAGTATATACAAATATTAAAACAACAACAAAGACTTTGTTGAATCAAAATTAATTGCACCGATTGTACACAAAACAGTCATATATTATCCCTTCTACCAATTTCGTAATTATAATTTTCTACCGAAAATCTCTTTTAAGAATATTGGTCTTTAAAATGTCATTCTTAAACAATCCTATTGATTATTTTATTAATTAAATAGGGCTAAAATAAAAATTTACTCGATATTTGTTCATAATGACAACAAATAGGCAAGCTTACAGCATCAACACACAGCATTCAAAGAACCTTGAAAGACTCTTATTTGAGTTCTTCCGCAATCATCTGAAGGATGGAATTTCAATGTAAAATATTGTAAACGAGTTATATTTTATCTTTAATTATTTTATATATTTTTAAAGGATACCTATGATTTAAATGTTTAATCATGAGTTGATTAAATGTCGAAATTTAATTGAATTAAAATTAAATTTAAACTCTGAATAATGAATTGAGGCTGATGGATAATTTTTATCATTTGCAATTAACTCATTTTGCCAGATACGTTATATTTTACTATTAGATTTTATTACATTAGATTATTCATTTTTTCATTAATCAAGGGGGTGGGAGTTCTCTAACCAAGGACCAGCATAAGGTCCATTATATATATTTTAGTATTTGTCTTGGTTGCTATGTCCTGTGCAGGAGGAGTAGATTTGCAGAAGTTTACAAACACCATGCGAATTCTGATATTATATGTATGAATGTTATGCTTACATTTTATCTATGATAGGTTTTTTTTTATATATGAAAATTAATGAAAATAACATAAAATAAGAAAAATAAAAAACAATAAAAACGATGTTTTATAGCATATATATATATATATATATATATATATATAAGTTATGGTTAGAGGTAAGACTGTATAATAGTTAATCCTATCCATTAGTTGTAAACAAGACATAATACTATATATATATATATATATATATCATTACTGGGAAAATAAAGTCAGTCTTTATCAAGCAACCGAGTGTGTCATTTCGTATCCTTTCTTTCTTTTTTTTTATTATTTCCTGTTTGGACAATCGTAAGTTATATATATATATATATATATATATATATATATATATATATATATATATATATAACTTATGCGACTGTTAAATGACTCACACGGCTTCAGAAACAATACTGCTTTATTTGTGAAGTAATCCTTCTTATATACATTTCAGAGCTTTGTTTACATACCAGGAAGGTATTAAGGCTGATACTGGCCGACTCCTGTCCTTATCTCCCCCCCACCAGTTTACGAAAAGTATTTCGAAAACTTTTAATTCTTGAGCGAAGCGAACTGTATCAGCCTCACCACCTTGTTTCCTGTACAATTAATACAATAATAATAAAAAAAAAATATCATGATAATAGTGATACAACAAACTCAGGAGTCCTGCATTGAGTAAAACAAATATACTTCTATTCTCAAATATACTTCATACTCACTATCGTTACCAAATTATGTTCCCTGATGGCAACTACCCTGAATGGGCCCTCGTATCGCGTCAATTCCTTCCCTCGATTTGTTCCCCTTCTCCGGTACACAGTAGTTCCGATTTTCAAATCCCCCATTTGGTAGCGTAATCTTAAATTTTCTCTACCTACCCGTTTCCTCTTTTCCCTCTCTATTTTTCCTCGTACTGTATCCCACGTCCTCCTCAATTCTACCCTATTATTATTTATTTGTTCGGCCACTTGGTCGTTAGTCACCGTATCCGCGCAATCTCGTCTTCGTGACGGAATGAATTGAATGGTTATATGCTATTATCGCCTTTTTCATAGCAATGTCGGGCTCCAATCCTTTTTCTCCCTGATACACGCGTATATGGTCGCTCAGGGTACTATGCAGCCGCTCGATGCTACCTCTGCTTTTGTGGTGTCCTGGTGTATTGAAGTGCCAGTTTATCTCCAAGCGTTTTGCCTCCTCCCTCATTGTGCTTTTGTCAAATTCCCTTCCTCCATCCGAGGAGACTCTCTCAGGTACCCCGTAAAATTGCATCCATATTTGAATAGCTTCTAAAGCTGCATCGGACGATTTCTCCAATATCTGGTACGCCATAGCAAGTTTGCTGAAGGTATCGATTATGGTTACCCACTGATACCCTCTCCATGTGAAGGTGTCGATCTGGAGATCTTGTAATGGTGCGTCTCCCGTGGGTGTCTCTTCCTGCCTTCCCTGAGGTGGGTGTCTGTCGTATTTCGTGGACTGTCCTCCCCGTTACGCCTAGTATCTCTCCCTCTTTGAAGAAGATATCCTCGTAATTCTACTCTTATGGACTTCCTCCAGTCCTCGACTCTATTTACCGCTCCTATCCGCGCTTTCGTACCCCTTATGCTCTCCGTACTTCTGTACCTCTGTCCTCCTAACTTGATTCTCCAAGTCCCATTCCTGTACTCTACTCTAATCCCTACTTGTCCGAATAGGTCGCACCCTATTATCGCCTGGTATTCCCGAGTTATGTTCCCAACAATGTGCACTTTCAAATTCCCCTTCTTACCTGCCCTTCTTACATGCCCCTCCTAGGGTAATTAATTTACACTCGCATCCCTGAATCCGGGGTGCGCTCTCACTACCACACAGCCTCTCTAGTGCCCCACGGGTCATAATAGTACTAGTGCTTCCCGTGTCTACCAAGCACCTCACTCCCTCTCTTATTGTGATGATTGGCAACCAGGAAGACTTACCTCTTATATTATTGCATGTCGCTGTGCGGTCGCCGCTCTGAAGACACACTCCTCAGATCCTCGCCTGCTTGCTCCTCCCTGTTGCCGCTCGTCTTTGTCCGCTCCACTGCGTGCTCCTTCCTCCTTCGTCTCCGCTGCTCCCTGGTTCCTCTTCCTCCGTCTCCGAGGCCTCTGATATCTCCGTTACCTCCTCTGAAGGCCCACTTCTTCGAGTCATATTAGGGTTCCTCCTCACCTTATGCATGTTAACCTCCATCGGCTCATCTTGTGCCGTCTTTCTCCTTCTGAACATGTACGGGCATTGCCTTGCAATGTGTCCTTCTGTCCCGCATTCGAAACATTTAGTGCGGGGGCATTGTGCCACTAGATGTCCCGTCCTGCCACAGCCATGACACTTCCTTTCTTCCTTACGGGGTCCATTTCGTGGCCTGGGTGATCCTGGTTTTCTTTCCCCTGTTGTGGTCCTTCCTCTGTTTCCGTATCCGGGCTCCCTTTTCTTCCAACCTATCGGTGCGGACCTGAAGCGTCTCTCGTTCACTCGGTTCCGTCCAGCTTCCTCTATCTCCATTCTACTTTCTTCCTCCCTCGCGCTAAAGTCGACCATCTCCTGGGCACACTCTAGGAACGACCGCTCTCTTGGTAAGCCGTCCCTCTTTCCCGTCTCCTTGGCCAGTTGAACCTTGAGGATAGTTGACAAAAACTCCATCCTGGCTTCTACTTCTCCTGCACTCATCATTTCGCGCATCTTCTCCGTGATGTGGTTGTACTTTGCCAATAGTACTCCCGCATACTGTCCGTTTGTCTGTCGTTGCGACCGTCGTTCCCTGAACATCTGGAAGATGTCCTCCTCTGGAGTCCATCGGCCTCCCCCAAAAGCCTTCTTCAACCTCTGTTTGATCACCGGCCATGGTGTATCTTCGTCTGCCTGTATCTGGTTAAGAACACTTCTCCGTACTCTACATATCAAGGCTGCTTTCAATGCTTCGGCATCCCCCAGGTTCACCAAATCTTCGGCCACTTTTGCCTCTATTCTGGAAATGAGACGGTCCCCACCTTTCAGAAAATGATTCAGTTCGCCTACCTCTCCACCGAAGCGTTCCAAGTGGCTATAGCCCTCCTTAGA